TCAGTATCGTGCGATACTGCGCAAATGTATTCGAACAGCTTGTATCAAATAGATAACGAGATTATTCACGATAGATACATTGACTAGAACATTATTTTCGTCATCCTGTCTGAGGGAAATTTGATTAATGATCATAAATTCATAAATACCGAAGGATTCTTTTGAAAGTCTTTGAAATGAAAAAAAAAGGGGAAAAAAAAAAAAAAAAAAAGAAAAAAATACTTATCTAAAATCACTTTCTAAACTTGTCCTTGATGAAAGATACAAAAAAAAAAAATGAAGAAAAACAATTCAAAAAAAAAAAAAAGGAAAAAGAAACGGAATAGAGAAATATTGAAATGACCATGCTACGAAATATTCACGCGTTAACTGTTACAGAGAAAACTGGTTTCTATAATCTAAATCTCACGAAGCAACCTCTTACTTATGTTGTTATCGACATAACCTCGAATATTACGTAATCGAAAATAGCGAAGAGTTTAATATTTGGTGGGGGTTGCAGTTTAAAAGAGGAGGAAAAAGAAGATAAAAAAAGGAAAAAAAAAAAGAGAAAAAAATAAACAAAAAAAACGCGACCTCCAGCTGGACTTTCACGTTCAAATCGAAGTTACTAAAAAGTTCTACTTTATAAGACGTTCTCCATTTTAATACAGCTTCCGAGAAACTGAGTCTTTGTTTTCCTCTACCGAGAACAACACAGAGCGATTCAAAGCGTGAAAAGCGTCACGAACGAGGAAACTCGTTAACGGTTTTTCCACGCTATATTCTTCGATATTCCCCGATGTATAGCGACAGCATATTGTTAGATCTAAGGAATTTGAATTATGGGAATTAAAAAAAAAAAAAAAAAAAAAAAAAGGAAGAAAGAACCAGGAAAAAAGAAAATATCATTCAAGAACAAAACGACAATTTTATTTTGTAACTATCTTACCTCGCATGAGAAAATCAAAGAAATATTTGGTGTATCGTGAAAAAAAAAAAAAGAGAGAGTCTTATTCTATAACAAATAAAATTATTAAAATTAATTAATTCATAAATTAGGTTATACGTCACATTGTACATTATTACGATGGAAAAAATGAAAATCGTACGATCTACGATAATTATTATAATAAAAGTTGTAAATTAAAAATAACTTTTCATTCATAACATAATAATAAAGTAACACGACGATAGTAAGATATCAATTTCCCCGTTATTAAGCGATTTAAATGAAAACTATTAAAACAATGGAAGTTTGTTTCGTAGAAATCGGCGCGCGATTTGAATCGTTTCATTAAAGTATTTGCGATCTTTTAAATGTTATACGCATTTAAGAGGAATCATAAACGAGAATATGTTTTCGAGTATCGTTAAAACGACTTATTATGACTACGTCTTCGTACAAAGGAAGATAAAAAAAAAATAAATAAATAAAATGAAACGATGGAAAGTGAAAAAAAAAGAAAAGAAAAGAAAAGTAAAGATCTCTTCGATCGTTCGTCAAAGGTAAGGAAAGAAGGAACACTTACCGAAAGCCATTAAATCATATTGTCCAACGAAGAAAAACGTTCTTTTTCTTCGTGAAAATATCAGGAACAGTTATCGGCGTTATCCAGTAAGGACAAGGAAGGTCAAGAAGCGAAGAAAAAAAGATGACTGGCTGTTCTCCTCTCGACGATCTCTCACGGAGCCACGAAAGATCCTCGAACTTGAATCTGCTTGAATCTCCTTCCTCGAGATCTTTGTTCACAGGAAAGAGAAAGAGAGAAGAGAGAGAGAAAGAGAGAGAGAGAGAAAGAAGAGAAAAAGAAGAAAATAAAAGAATAAAATAGAGAAAGAGAGATAAAATACACTTAAAAAAGAAAGAAAGCAAGAAAGAAATAAGGAAAGAGAATAGTAAAAGATAATTACAGGTAAAAATGAACTAACAGCCGGTTTCGGAGCACGCGGCGTTGACAACGAGTAGTTAGGTTTGCTCTAACCTAAACCGAGAGCTTCAGCTGCATAGGGGTGGTAGGTCGTTCGCACGAGAAAGACAAGGACATGAGTAGGGGGAGAAAGAGAGAGAGAAAGAGAAAGAGAGACAGAGAGAGAGAGAGAGAGAGAGAGAGAGAGAGAGAAAAAGACAGAGAAAGAAAAAGAAAAAAGAGTAACGATACTTAAAGAAAGAGAAAGAAAGAGAGACAATAACACAGACACACACACACACGGATAAGGTTCGAATAAGAAGCACAAGATGTGGTAAAATGCTAAGAACACGATCGTCCTTGTTTCCTCTTGTAATATCTCGCGAGGATAACAGAAAGAGAAGCGAAACTTCTCTACGACGAGGCATCCGTCGAAGGACTGCCATCCTACCCGCGCGTCCCTCTACTACCATAACCCCCCACCACTGTCATACCCGATACTACGCTTGGGCATAGGAGTGGGGGTAACCCGATGCTCCATTGGTGGGGAGTCGCAACCCAGCGAGAGAGATTCCCAGACCTTTCGTCGGCCAGGTGGCGCAAGGCTTGCTAAGGGGAAGTACGAGCGAAAGAGTGAGACAGAAAAACACGGCGCCAACAACGGACGGCATCGCCCAATCTCAGAGAAAGCGAGAGGGATGATATCGTGGACAGGTACGTACACGTTATCCTCTTTCCCACCGTCCTCTGTCATTTATTTATTTAACGAGAAAAGGCAAACTGTCTCCTGTCTCGTTTCTTTCTTTCTTTTATTTTTCTTATTTATCCAACAATCATGTCTGACAAATAATCTTAATCATAAGAATTATTATATTTGAAACTATCTGTTTTTTAACGATTAACGTAACTTAACAAAGTACGCGTAAGGAATACGAACATAATGTTATAGATGGTAATTTTGCTTTTTTTTTATATTTTCTTTTGTTTTTTTTTCTTTCTCTTTTCTTTTTTTTTTTTTTTTTTTTTTTTTTAACAAGTCGCGCATAAATCGGATTACTTTTTTCTCTTCGATTGTGCGTTGAGAAATATTAAAAAATGATTGGATTTGTTTTATAATAATTTTAAAAATGTTCGAAAAGTATAAGTTCGATCGTAGATCGTAGGGTTCCCGTTTCGGAAGATGCCAGTACTGATCCCCGGTTAAGTTGGTCGTTTGGTGGGGTTAAAGTTGAGGAGAGAAAGAGAGAGAGAGAGAGAGAGAGAGAGAGAGAGAGAGAGAGAGAGAGAGAGAAAGAGAGAGAGGAGAAAGAGAGAAAGGAAAAAGAGAAAGAGAAGAAAGAACGACCACCGAGTCGAACGACCGGTCGAGTTTGCGCACTGGACAAAGTATGACCGAAGTATGAACTTTTTCCGTGTTCCACTGAGGTCGACCGTGCGCCTCGTAACTGTCACAGGTATATCTTTCTTATGTTTCCTGATCTACCTTACCGACCGAACAACACTCTTACTTATCAAACAAACTTTATTCATTCATTAGATCGATTAAACGTATCGAATTATTGTAAAATTGCTTTTTATCCAAATAATTACAATTTGATAATTCGATCTATAAGATAATAATACATTCTTTTCTATTTCATTGATTATGATATATATCTGTTCGAGCATTTAAGTACATTGAAAAAATTGAGGTTATCTTTTTCTTTCGATCTTACATTAGAGAGTCATTACGACATACTTTTACAATTACATATAATCACGTATATACACCGTTACATGTTGACTAATAAATTGCAAAATTTATGTATATATAATATACTTGAATATTAAATTACTCGAATACTTTGAGCCCTAGTTATGATCGCATAGTTCGTGTAGTTTGAGAACTAGCCGAGGTCAAGTTCGCAAAAATGTCACGTGAGATCGATCGGCGTTACGATCGAGTTTCTCACGGAACGATCGAAAAGTATTCACGAAGGAAATCGCCCTAGAATCAAAGGCACACCCTTGCATTTATTTTTCAACGTTCGTGAAATGTTAGTAGGTCTTTTAAACTCTATACGAAGAAACTATGAATACGTTTGATTATTCTCGTGCTATTTTAACCTCAATTTAACGCTCCATTGATTCATTGTAACGTTCATTGGCTCAAATTATCTTTTCAAAAGTTTCTTCTATAAAATATTAATATTGAAATCGTCAAAGTATCTAATGATTCAATTATTGTTGTACGATAATAAATAACATTTAGAATCGCATGAAAATGAAAAATACGATGAATATCATATTTTAACAATAAAATTATTCTATTTGTTATCATGGATAACAAATGGAAACAATAATAATAAAACGTTCGATATAATATTTCCGATAAATAATCTTCATCTTTGATATTAATTAATATATTAAATATTCATTTACATTTTAAATAAGTAAACAGTAGCTTCGATTACTCGATCGATAATAGTAAATTAAACAAAAAAGGATCAATTCTATGCATCCCAGAGGGCACTGGTTATGTCCAAATCTCTATAAATATTAAAATGTATAAAAAAAAAAGGAGGCAGAAATTTATCGAACTTAAATTCTTTGATAATAATATAATTACATTATAATTATATTTATACGTTATATAAATATATATATATATACATTTTTATTATTAAATTATATATTTATGTATTAACGGGATTAAGTTAATCTTATATTTATATATTATATATAAATGGTCATTATTATATATTTATATATTAACAGGTTTACAATAACGATAATTTTAAGCAAAATTTAAAATAGTTCCGTATGGTAAAATAATAACTCTCGAAGATCTTTATCATCGGTTGATTTATCAAATAGAAAAGGATTGGCTATTTTCAAAACAAATTTTTCATGACATTTGAGGTTATGCATACATTTGATTCAGCTTCGTGAATCAAATAACCGATCATTTCAATGGAAATTTAATTGATAGTTGATGATCGTACCAACGTTGATACAACTGAATTTAATCCTTGATCAGGAATCATTGATGAACTGTTATTAGACACTGTAGTTGGTATAACAAATGTAACGTTCATTTTCTTTTTTTTTTTCTTTTCTATTTTTTTTCCTTTTTTCTTTTTCTTTTTCGAAAAATTTGACCACGCATGCGTTGCTCTTCTTCGTAAGTAATTTTTTTGTATGCTTAAATTAAAAATAAATTCGTAATTATCGGATATAATTTGTGATTAAGTGAGGATTAAGCATTATCATGCACGTAAATCGTAGGTTATGTTTTAATTTCGTTAAAAGAAGTTCAACAATACGAAAGGGCATTGAATCGGTGAAACGATTATATAATACGGTATACTTGTATTTACAGTATGTCGTGACGAGAAACTTCCTTCGTGACTAATCGAATAGACTAATCTTCTCCAAGCCCTTAGACTCGACGAACCATGCTTTAATTATTGCTCAATCTCATCTGATCCAACCCCAATCTATCGTTGGTAACCTTGAAAATAACTTCGAGATCCTCCTTACAATTCGTTCTTCACATTCAAGGTTAAATTTATACGAATAGCTTATTGTAAAATTTTGTATATATTATTCTACGGTATTAGTAAATAGATCGATTCATTTTAAATCTTATTATAATTTATCTTTATATTATATTTAATTTAAAAATGTGATGATAATGATAAGAATCTGAGGATTCGATAAATGAAAAGGAAGAAATGAAAAGGAAAAAAGAAAAAAGGGAAATAAAATATACGTCAGGAATTCTTTGAGTTATCAAAGAAAGGAGGAACGATCAATAACTAAAATCGAATCGATAAAATTGTTACCAAGGCCATTTACTTTTTATGACGCGCGTAATTCAAATGCTTTATCAAATTTTTAGAATTATCTAATATATATACATCAGAGATGATGATAACGCATTGGTACGAATAAAAGTTATTGTTACAAGTAGTCGCTTGAGGGTGATTTCGATGAAGAAAGAAAAAGAGAGAGAGAGAGAGAGAGAGAGAAAGAGAGAGGAGAATTTGAGAAAGAGAAAAGCTCGTAAAATACATGATTTTATGTTTCTGGTTAAAAGCTGAGCTTTCTCTCTTTCTTTCTCTCTCTCTTTATCGATCGGATTGGTCACACGGTGAGCGACAAAAACGAGCAAATTAACAATCCACCATCGAATTTGAACGTTGCTACGTAACGTTCGTAAAATCGTTTAATACACCACACATACAAATAAATTCGCATGTGAGATTTCGTGATAAAAAAAAAAAAAAGGAAATGTTTTCCTTCTCATAATCGAATTCCAACCATTTTATTTTCCCATCTTTTTAAAATCTAACGATAATCTTATTCCCGAGGATACGAATTGCGTGAAATATTTTATTATTTGGCAAGCAAAAAGCAATTTGATTTTTTTTTTTTTTTTTTTTTTTTTTTTTTTCATTGCACGAATAATTTAAAGTATTAAAATAACTATATACGTGAATATTCCATTTGACATTTTTAAAGAATATTGTACTGAAAATGTTACAAAATTCGAATTCTAAGTAAAGCGTAATAATTTAATTGCAAATAATTTTTCACTTGTAAATATTGTACATATGTATATATGTATTTTATATTTTTTCATTTCTCGTCACCAAATTATCGATTTTTTTTTTTTTTTTTAATGCCTTGAAACAAATTGAGAAGCTTAAATAAAACAATTGCGCCTTCGACCAATGCAACCATGATTACATGATCGTTGAATATTCACATTGTTACAAGGGCAAATCAAAAATTGGATAATCTCGTAATAAGTAAAAAATTGTTGCGTTTTCCTGAATTTCAATGCATTAAGAAAATTTGTACAAGACGTATAACTTAATTAGGCTTAAACATTAATTAAAAATAACGTTCTTTATTCGTCAGGACTAACAGAAAAAAAAAAGAAAAAAGAGAAAGAAATACAACAAATGCTTCTTAAATACAATATTTCATCGTCGGTTAAAAATTTCTTTTGTAAAAAAAAATGGCCAAGGAAAAAATATAGAAAAGAACAAAAAAAAAATAAAAATGCAGTTGGACGATTATATGAGTTTATCAGGTGATAATTTAAGCAGATAGTATACAAATAATACTAACGAGAAACACAGAAAATAAAAGTATCGTACGAACGTATCTCATTGTTTAGCGTAGCGATATTTTAATTATTTAGCGAGCACTATTTTATATTGGAATCTACTTTGAAAAAAAAGAAAAAAAAATTACGAATCAAATAAAAAAAGAAATATTGACCGAAATATCGTGCGCTTACATATTTAATACGTATTCCTGCTATCATTCGAATGAATCGATCGTCGAAACATCGAATTATGATCAGTAATAACAAAATTACGTACAATTTACGATTAAATTAGATATAACATTTTCTATGTATTTCTAATAATATCTTATTATTAGTGAATCCTGTTTCGTGCGAATGAATTTGTTCATTATTAAAAAAAAAAAAAAAAAAAAGAAAGAAAAAAAAAGGCAAGAAAGATTAATGATTTTTAAAAATCTAAACGATGAGAAGGAGATTGAGATGAATTGAAAAAAAAAAAAAAAAAAAAGATTCCATAAACTCGTTATGAAAAATGATTTTTCGTCAGTCCACGCAAGTCAAAACGACTTACGAGTATTAGATATCGTATGATTATTATAATGGAATAACTTATTTCCAACAATTATTGAGACTTCTAAGTTTTATCATTCCTTCTTTAACGTTGCTACTTTGTTAGTAGGCCAGTGACTATTGAACAGACATCTCGTCCCATCTCGTTGCTAACTTTCCTGGCATTTCTCTGTTGTCTTTTGAACATTACACATTCGAGAATCTCGAAAAGGACGTTGTTCAAAATGGCGGACGATAGTAGTTTGGCCAATTTCCATGAGAGTTTATTCCAGGGAATAAAATCAAGGTTGCTGTAACAAAGCAAAGACATTAAAGTTTATAATCGTTCAATTGTTGTAAATAATACTTTGTTACAGATTAAAATGTAAATGTGATTCGACTAACTTTCGATCATTCAACTATCTAGAATTATGTTATTTAAATGTTATAAAAGTCACTTATTGTCAGAATTAAATATCGAACTATTTAACTATTTAATGCGAAACAAAAAGTAAATAAAAATTGCTACAATTTTAAATATTGTTTTTATGCACGACCATAGGGAATTTTTTCTTCTCTCAATATAAAGATAAGTGAGACAAACTGTATTATCTTTAGAATTATTTAATATTTAAAAATTCGTTCGAATTTGTACATTTCATATCGAAATTTTTGTATATATGTATGTATGTATGTATGTGTCTACGTTTAAATGGCTAAATAGATTGAGTTGAAATTTATAACAAAAATGATATTACTTGAAACGTGGATTAACAAGTAATTTCGATTCGATCTAATTTCGAGCTATGAAATGTCGATTTTTGTTAAAAATGATATTTGAAAAAATATTTAAAGATATTTAAAATATATCTAAGGATATTGAAAAACAAAAAAAAAATTACATTCGCAAGAAAAAGAATGTCAACATCTTAGGAATATTTAAAATAATATATAAGTCATATGTATCATAAAAATCTGGCTGGCATGATGAATTTCTTTTTCTTTTTCTCTTTTTTTTTTTTTTTTAATTTCGTATAGAAATAATCAAAGATGGATGAATAGATGAAAATTAAAATTTGTGGCGAAGGACCTTTATCTGTCTTAAAGATTGCTAATTTTCTTACTAAAATTTATACATAATGCATGTATCTTTATGATTATATATTTATACGTGTGAGAGCATGTGGGTGTACGCGCATACACACACAAGCACGTACTAATTTTACAGGCTGAATAGTTGAGCATATTTACTTAAAATTTATATCGAAAATTAAGTCGAAATTTTAAGAAGATCCATGAGTAATTTCGATTGTATATAATTTCTGATTGGAAAATAACAGTTACATATAATATTAATACATTAATAATTAATCTACTAATATTTAATTTTGTACCGATATTAAATTTCATCATGTCTATTTTACATTACGCAGAGTAATGTCGATTTAACGTTTCGTTCGAAATATATATAGAATGTAAATACAATCAAGCAAATATTATAGAATGTTATAACATTTAACTCTTTAATAAATAACATTTTTTTAAGCGTCAAATTATAAAACACAATTATCTAATGCGAAACTTGTAATATAATTTAATAGAATTATATCGTTATGCTGTATTAATTATAATTTATATTTAGAAAATATCAACTTTCAGGATATGAATTAAATGCGATATGAGAGAGAGTTATCAAACGAAAATTAAAATAAGATTTACAAAATACAAATATATCAGAGTATTATATCAAAGTCAATATGAAAAGTTTTCAATTAACTTAAAAATAAGTTAGTTATTCATTGTTTTCCAACGACCTTAAAGGATTCGAAAAAAATTGCAAAAATTAATGTTAATCGTTCAAACTTATTTTGCGTTGTTCATTTTTCGATAATTAATCATCTTTTCAACAAATTTAATTGAAAAAATTGATTAGATAATCCAAAGAAAGGAAAGAAATAACAATAAAATATTTGGATGGCATTTACAAATGTTAGATTAAAAAGGATTTAACACGTAGAAAGAGATAACAATGATTTGCTATTGCTTTTATATCCTATGAAAAGTGTATCCACTAGCAGAATGTAAGTTTCGCAAACGTTAAATCCAGTTCTCACGTAATGTCCCATAAAACCAGTTTCGGTGAACTTAGAGTCCGAGGTAACCCTAAGAGTTACGATTTATCATCGTCCTTTAGAATCGGCCTTTATACGAGAGATAATCTGTTCTATGAAAAAAAAAAAAAAAAAAAAGAAGAACCATGATGCATGTGAAACCGTGAATACGGTTTACACGATAAAACTCACGTTTCTCGCGTATTTTAAAGGCTCGTTTAAGGTCTCCTAAAGATAAAAGATATTTAAATACAACGCTAGTAGGTAAAAGTCTTGTTAATAAGAAATATCGAGAGGACGAAGTTAGATATCTTTTTAAATTTTTTCGCGAGAGTCCTTTTTCTTTTTTTTCTTCCCCTCTCTTTATTTTCTTTTTCTTTCGTTCCCTTTCCTTATTACTTTTTTAATAGTCCGATCGATTTTTATTTTTCGTTCTTTTCTTTTTTTTTTTTCTTTCTTTCTTTCTTTTTAACAGGTAAGATATCGCATCGACGTTCAGATTTTGCCCGAAGAAAATACCTTTTTGGTATCTAACAGACGCGATGAACGTGAATTTCATCGTCGTACGTGTGTAAAATTTTTCTTCGTTCGTATTAAAGCGATATCACGGTTTTCTTATACATACGTGCCAAGTATCGTAAATACACGCTCATGAATAACCCTAAATTCGATATGCATCTAATCCGTATACCGTATCGATCGTACGTTTCTTATTAATCTGATTATCAAAGGATTTTAAGATTAAAGCTTTAAAAATGAATCATCTTTTCGTAAGAAACTTTATTATGATGGCATTCTCATCATCAATATTTTTCATTGAACTCGTTTGAATTCATTTTAAATCGATTCATTCATCCTTAGGAATACTTCTTTATCCTCAATCTTCAATTGAATTTGATATAACCAAATTGAATTATAGCGTATTATTATCATAGTTCCAATGAATTGTTAACCGGTAAAATTCAACTAACTGTCTTACAACATTCAACCGGCAATAAGTAGATCAGTTTATCTGGATCAAGATAACATTGTAAACGAATCTAATTAAACAGTTTAGTTGAAGCTAATAGTGAATTAAAGTCGATCGATTATCTTGTTTGAGAACGATCAGTTCTATCGACAGTCGAACGTTTTTATCAAAGGTTCTATCTTTAATACTTTTAAACTCGTTCGTCGTTATCGAAGATCTTTTAACTCGATATATATATATATATATATATATATATATATATCAAACTTTCATTAGATAGTTATACGTTAATTAAACGTTAATTCTACTAACCTCCTTAATTTCTGTTTTTTGAGAAATGTCGATGCTATTAAGAGCTACTCTTTCAGGTATATTTTCCTCTTCCATTGAATGACGAACACCAAAAATCATGCGATAAGATATCGAAGTTAATAAAGCACCTCCGATTGGACCAAACCAATATATCCAATGATGATTCCATTGATTGTTCCAAATAGCTGGTCCCAACGATCTAACTGGATTCATACTGCAACCAGTATAAGGGCCAAATGCTGTGGCTAAGGTTGCAACCGTAAAACCAAACTTTAACGGCACAGAATCCGTATTTTTTGCGTTTCTCGAATCCCAAAGTGCACAGGTGACCAACATCAAAACCGAAGTAGATAAACTTTCGATTAAAAGTCCTTGAATCGCTGATACATTTGGGTGTAAATCGGTGACGCATAATTTGTCGGCATCATCTAATCCTCCCAATGTTAAGTTCTCCTTAGGTGTAACCACCTGCAAATTTATATAAAACACGATTTTTAATTTTCAATATATTTCATTTATACATTTTATTTAGATTTGTTATCTTAAATTGTTATTAAAAATTTGAACCCAATGTATTGGTAAAAACAAGATCTACATATATATAAATTTCATTAAAAATATTAATGTCGCTTGAAGAAAATAATCGAAGAAAAGATTACAATCAAAGGGTAACAATATTTCATCTTTCTTTCATTCGCACGACGAATATTTTTTTATAAAAGATTTTCTATTCAACTTTGTTACGCACTTGCGACAATTATTCATTGTCGATCTTAATGTTACACATTCATCGAATCAAGACCTCTCGAGTTACATACTTATCATTCATAGAACGTTCATGGAACGTTTATCTATGAGAAACATTATCATTGATCGAACATTTTGATTACCAATGAGTACGATTTGTTCGTGATTGCTTTCTTTTTCTTTTTTTTTTTTTTTTTTTTCTTCATAGATCGATTCATGTTAATCGTGCATTCTGAATCATGAATGTCTTGTAAACTATCGTATCTATTACAATGGAAAAATTCCATCCTGGAGATTCTTTATCTGAATAGCACACTGAATACTATTTATCTGTCCTCCTTCTCTTTCTCTCTTCCCTCTCGCCTCTTCATACTATCTCCCCCTCCCCCGTTCTCTTCCGTCCCAATCGCTTGCCTAATTATAAACAGTTGCTCAATCACTTGAAGAATATAGCCAGAGGAAAGAATTTATTTTTTTTTTTTTTTCTTTTTTATGTTTCCTTGCTTCACGTCACAGAATTAACTAGTCTCATCCTTTATGATTTCTTGTCTTCCTTATAAGTCTTCCTTCTTCTTCATTTTCATATTTTTTATTATTCGAAGATTTATCCTTCCCGATCACATCTATCATTTTCATTTGTCTTCTGACTTATTTGTTTGTTTGTTTGTTTGTTTGTTTGTATGAAAAACGAGAAAAAGGAATTAAAAATAAAAATTTTTAGAAGAAAGAGGAATATTTATTTTTTTTCCTTCGTTCCTTCTTCTTCTTCTTCTTTTTTTCATTTTTTTCATTTTTTTTTTTTTTTTTTTTTTTTTATTATTATTATTTTACAACGAACACACGTCTACGCGTCGAAATTGCAATCATCGTAATTTAAAATGTCGAAGCAAGTCTGACGATTTGTTCTTTGATCTGAAAATTTTGTGATTAAGAATTAAACGTGACTCGGATATTTCCAATGTATAATAATGTATATCGGTCTGTTCGTTATTTTGAAGAAGTAAAAATAAAAAAGAAAAAGAAAAAGAAAAGAAAAAAATCAATATCGCGATATTCCTTATCCCTCTCGCATTTTGAACGAATTTTATCGAAGCTTTATTTTTTTGTTTGATCTTATTTTTCCTTCGTTACTTCTTTTTTCTTATTATCACGAAAGATTAGAGAAAGATCTTTCGGTAATATCGCTATTTTGTTTTGTAACGTTGATTACGAGATCAAAGTATTAGAAAGATATTTTTCAAAATAGAGAAAGAGAGAGAGAGAGAGAAAGAAAGAGAGACAGAGATAGAGAAAGAAATAGATAGAAATAAGAAAAAGTGAAAAAAATTAATATAAATCAAATTTATATTGAATCTTAACAATATTTAATTGCTTATAGATTATCAAATAAATAAATTATTCAAAAATTTAAATTTCTCTATTAATTAAAGAAAAAAAAAAAAGCAATTTAATACAAGCATCAAATTTATATCAAATTTAAAAAAAAATTCATTACTTCATAACTTATAAAATTAGTAAATTATTCAGAAATTTAAATTTCTTCCGACTGAAAAAAAAAAGAAAAAAAAAAAGAAACAAAAAATACAAAAGAAAAAAGGAAAAGAAAAAAAAGATAAAGTTAATTTTTCGAATAAAATTCGATATAAACCATCTGATATCCAATTTCTCCATTGACATAATTAAGAAATATATCCCGTTATTATGACGTGAAAAAAAAATTTTTTCAAAGTACTTTTACATTTACATTTACGTTTACATTTTACATTTTATTAACATTTCTTTTCTTTTTCTTTTTTTTTGTCTTTAAACAACATTTTCAATACTGACCCTTAACATGCCATAACCCGAGACGGCGCCTAACGTTTGAGCCAACAAATAAACCAAGGCCTCTGGGATGGTTTTCTTGCCGAGTACCACTGAACCGACTGTGATGGCGGGATTAACGTGAGCTTCACTAATGTGTCCAAAGCACTGTGAAAAGAAAGACGAGAGAATAAGAGAGAGAGAATTAACTTCTGTGTGTAACGGGTGTAAAGTAAAACAATGTGACAGAATTCTCTGTGTGTATGTGTATGTGTGTGTATGTGTGTTAGGGAAAAGGAACGAAATTTTTTTTTTATTTTTCTTTTAGTTAAAACCACAACAATACACTTTGCTCAACAAATGACTCTTTAATAATGAAACTGGGTTAAAGAGGAACGGTAATTAAAATGTTTTTTAAATATACGACTGACTTCAGAAAGAAAACAAAAATTTTTTTGGCTCTACGAAAAGAACGCTCATTATAAATGTCTTTTTTTATTATTAAGATTTATAAACGATATATAAATTTACTATGATCATATGAAAAACGTTAATTACATTTGATACGAGTATAACAATTATTCAAATTTTCGAGAAATAGAACGAATTCTATTATGGATTCTACGAAATTCATTTTCGTTTTCATCAATTTCTAAATAATTTGATATTATCACGAACGTCAAAGATAATATTAATCAAAACGTTTACTCGTATTCGTTAATTATGTTCATAATTAATTAATTATTTGTCGATTAATAATTTCGATTGAAAAAAAAAAAAAGAAAAAAAAAAAAAGAGAAACAAAAGATTAATACATAATATTAGATCTTCTAAAAGTATTTTTAATAAAAACATACAAACTATGTGTACAGACCTGTATAACGATCATAACGCTTAGGCCAAAATTTAATGTGATCTGTAAATGAGGTGGGATGACACCAAGACCGCTAACACATCCCATGCATCCAAGGAACAACAATATTGATGTACCCATCATCTCGGCTAATCCAGTGATGATGGTTTTTTTAACAGAACCCTCCTCTTGAATCAGCTTTCTAAAATCTGTCGAAACCATAAATCTATTATTCTAAAATTTATGGAAACCATAGATGTATTACTAACGCCTTTCTTTTCATTTAACACAGGCTCGATAAAATCAAATAAAAGAAAAAAAAAAAAAAAAAAGAAAAAGAAAAAAGAGAATTACTTTTTATCAAGCGTGATAATCGCGAGTTTATAATACTTACGTAAGCGTTATGAAAATATTATGTTTATTGATACAAGTGTTTTTTTTATATTTGATATTAAAAGATTAAATGAGAAATTTTCGTAAAGGAATATTTGTTACTTATATTATATTATAATTCAATGTATAGACAACGAGATTTAATCTCATTAACGATTATTTAAATATTGATTTTCCACAACGAATTTAACATCGTATATACACATATATGTATATACTTATGATAATAATAACTCATTATCATTTTTGACAAACTTCCACATATGTATTTCTGACGTGTGATCATGTTCTTAGATCGAACAAAAAAAAAAAAAAGAAAAAAAAAAGAAAAAAGAAAAAAAAAACGTCTCCATTAATATCATCATATTTTAATATATTTCCATATCTTTTTTATCGGGATAATATATCATAATACGAACGAATTATGAAATATGTAATTTCAAAATAAACATATAACACGTATATACATTTTTATTCGTAGATTAACATTGAATTTTCTTTAGCAATAAATCCGTTCGTAAAGGTGACCAACAAGCAAGGAATAATATATTCATAATATATTCAAAATTAATTCCATCGTACGATTTAGTATTGAAGCCGAAACAAATGTGGGCTCGTTACGAAGAGATTAACATAATTCGTACGACATTATTTCGCGTTGGAATATTCACAAATGATAGACAATGTTATTACGTTTGAGATTCTATGTAAACTCGTCATAGAAAAAGTTGTCACGCTAAAGAGTCGAGAGGAATGAATAAGAGAGAAAAAATAAATAAAAATAAATAAATAAATAATAATAAAGAGAAGGACGTACGAATTGCTCACACTTGACAAATCGATTAATTTCGTAAAAGAAAAAGTGAAGAAACGTGATGAAATAATGTAAATAACTTTTTAAAAAAATTAACCCCCGTAATATAAAATCAAATGAACATTGTAAAATTTATAAATGGAGACCAACGACATATATATGAAATAACAAAAATTAAAGAAATTTATTATCAATATAAAAATTGAGGATTCGATCGAGTTCTTTGATATTTAAATTTAAGAAAAAGCAAAAAATTTCCAAAATAAATTTAATCAATTTGGCTTATCTTATATTAATATCCAAAATATTATGTTATTGTCTGTTAGCATATAAAACGATAAGATCGAAATTGAGATGATAAGGATCTTTGTCTTACCCCGACGCCAGGACATCTTCAACGTTTTATCAGAGATTCTCAGGTTGTTGTACGCTCACCGACTACTATCGATGGAATAACTTTGTTGAAGTACAGTACATCGGAACATACACGCAACTAATGTATATATCTCTATCTCTATCTCTATGTCTATCTTATATTCCTACCTTTATCTCTCTCAAACATGGATGCTATATATATATATATGTATTTATACAAACGCGTATGTAATACCAATGTCTGGTGTAACTAAATGTGTAGAATTACGAGTATCTGACGTATGTATGAGAAAACAGGAAAGCTACTACCAAACCAATCTCGATATTATGTTTGAATTAGAATTTCTTCGTTCAGACAGATATTTGGAAGTCGTTCTAGTATTTATAATAAGAACGATCATTCTTTTTGATATAAAGTATTAATAACCTAACAAAAAAATATGTTCCTCTCTTTTAAATCTTATCGACGTCTTTTTTTATATACATTATATATATATATATATATAAAATAATAATAATAATTGTAAATGTTTTTTCAACGATAATATTATCACTCTTTATTATTGTTATATTATAAATCGTAAATATGGGAATAGTACACGGGAATAAATTTGTAAAGAGTTTCGTGCCTCCAGTGATTATTGATAATTAGTAAATTATAACAATTGACAGATAAATTCTAATGTAATTCGTATGATTCTGAATACGACGAAAATGTTTCGAAATATCTACATTAAAATTTTTTAACACATATATGACTCAAGTATACGTATCTTCTTCAAGGAAATGACATTATCAGTTTACATTATCGAATTATCACTTATGAAATATTTACATTTGAAATTTTTTAACGTGTCCTCATATTTCTTCTCGAAAAAAAATTATTGATATATGTAAATGAGTTTCTTTAGAAATTTACAATATATTTTTCTTTTCCTTTTCTTTTTTTTTCTACATATTGCAACATGTTTGATTTGAAAGAAACAAATTAGGTAATAAATGTAAAAAATGGGGGGGGGTTGAAAAAAAAATATGTATCAAAAAACGTTACAAAGTATTATATCTTTTTTTTTTTTATTTCACAGAGTTAATACATAATTATCGACCCACTGAAATATCAAAAGCATGAAAGAAGTATTTCCAAGGATGATATATACTGATACGCTAACGCTGATTTGAGTTTTCCGGTGTGTCAACATCAAAGTCACAAACGCACTTGCGTATTACGTGAGATGAAAAGAGGGAGAAAGAGAGAGAAATAGAGGGTGAACGACATTAGGGACGTCGAACCATCCAACTCGAGCAACAAGGATAATTATGGCAGGTAATTACCTCTACTTGTAGTCGAAGGATAGCATCGAGAAAGGAGCTACTCGACTGTATTCTCTGAGAAAGAACTTTTACACTTTGCTTTGATGCAAGAAAGGGGGAAAGTAAAGTGGGGAAAAAAGAGGAGGAGGAAAGAGAGAGAGAGAGAGAGAGAGAGAGAGAGAGAGGAGGAAAGAGAAAAGGGGGGAGGTCGAAAAGGTCCAAGAAAGAAAATTAAAGGTAAGAAAACTTTAAAGAACAGTCCCGTATTTATTTCTACCCTTTTCATTGTCAAAGCCGTTTAAAGACAATTTACTCGTGGAATTCGATTATTGATTTTTCTTCTTCCTCTTTTCTTGTCGTTTTTCTTTTCGATTAGTTCAATGAGAAAATTTGCATTTAAAAAGAAAAAAGAAAAAAAAAAAAGAAATGATCAAACTCTTATTCAATACAAACCGTGACGAATCATGTCTCATGATACTGAGATTAGAAATTCTTTCGGTTTCTCTTTATGTTTCTTTAAATTTCAATGGCCACGAAGTTTTATCAAAGTCACAAGGAATATATTTATAAATAAAATGAATATATATATATATATATATATATATATATATATATATTTATTTATAAATGAATATACTTAATGATCGGTGTTCAATATTTATAATTATAGTGTTTGCCGAAAGATCTCCAACAATCATGTTATCGATTGCTTTGGCTGAATAATATCCTCATTTACTGATATATCTCCACTTTTGCATATTCATTTGGTTTTGTGAGAATGCAAGCAATGCTATCCCATTGCAATTAATATTCTGTTACTAATATTCTCTAACTATCACGAAAACATTTCTATAATATATTTCTGATATCGAAGCTCGATAGTGAATCGTCGGTAAATATCGAAATCGTCGATTAAATGTTATATTCGATTATTATTCCAGGTCAAGTTGTTAATTAGTCACTGTTCAATTGGCAATTCCTTAACCCTATTCAATTGAATTTACATCGAATCGATATTTGAAATTATTATTATTTTTTTTTTAAATCATTTGAATACGACTATATATATACGTTCTAGAACATTTCTAGATTATGTACGTGACCTTATTATAGTTGACGTATGACTATCAAACTACGTGATATGCACGCAACGTTATTATGCCATGTTCCCAAGAGGCGTTAACTATCGAATCTATATTACGGTTTACTGGATTACGAAACAATTAGACACAAATAAAACAGAATTATTAAGAATCGAAATAATTATAAACGATCTATCTCCCTTTTTATTATATCTTTTCTTTATTTAACAAATAGCTATTTGATCGATCGCCATCTCGTTCGAGTATTATCAAATTCTTTTTCATCGTGAAATTTATATGACTAAATGAAATTTTTTTCCTTTTTTTTTTTTTTTTTGTTTCTTCTTCTATTGTATATTATTCATTTGTATTTATATATGACAACGACGATAAACAAAAAATCTTTTCTTTTTTATATATTAGAATTAAGATATTAAATAAATTCGAATAGATTAAACATAAAGAGTTTTGATAATAATGAATTATCGTTACCTTCGACAAATTTATTTTCACGTTACTCGTCTAAAAAACGAATATAATGATATTTCATACGATTATGGATAATCTCGAAAGCAGAAAAAAAAACAAATAAAGAAAAGGCTAGCATTTATTCATAATTAAAAACTGCATATAATAAGTGCCATTTAATGAACAAGTTTATTATCGTCAATATCCTAACGTGATCATCAAATAACAATGATTATTACTTAATCATCAATAAAATTTCCATAAAAATGTGTGCCTTCGATATTAATCGTTTTCAATTACATGTGTTCGATCATTTTACGAGCAATTTAAAACTTATTTATCATGTAGCTCTGGCAATGGATTTTCGACGTGAAAATGATAAAAGAAAAATTTTTATATAAACTTAATTTCCCCATTTAATCCTACGAATTTTTTCACAAGTTATAGAGACTTTTTTTTTCTTTTAACATATTATATATCTTTTTATGATCTTCAAAATAATAATGTTCGAAATGATCTTCGACCTGCATCTAAAATACAAATTTTGAAAATATTTTTATATTTTTAACAATTTTAATAATTCTTATTAATTGATCGTCATTTTCCATTTCTCTCTGGATAGCATTCGAATTTTCCCTGTTCAATTCTCTTGCAAACTATTTCGATATTGTCAACGAACCTTCTCCATACGATGGATTTCAAATAATCCCACTCTCCCCCTCCCCAACCGCCAATAATCCATTAAAGCAATAATCCATTGATTCAATCTCAGATATTGAGTTATGTTTGTAAATAGCTTTAGGGCGAAAATTTAACACAACTAATTTCAACTATCTATAAAATTATTCCTAAATAAAATTCCTTATAATTGAAGAACAAGGTCAGATGGGTTCAAGCATTGGGGTCAAATATTATACGAACGTGTTCTTGTTTCTTGTTTCTTTTTTTTTTTTTTTTATCGTTCTCACGTGTAAAAATCAAATACAATCGAAACGATAGTTTTCACCCTAAAAGCTTAGGTATACCCTGTATATTTTGTATCATATGTAAGTGATTTAATTAAAATTCACAAAAAATGCTTCTTTTTCTTCTTTCTTTTTTTCCTTCTTCTTCTTCTTCTTCTTCTCGTGTTAGTCGTTTCTTTTTTCTTCTTCTTCTTCTTCTTTTTCTTCCTTTCCTTCTAACAACTCATTCTCTTGTCTTTTTCTTTTCTTATTTTTCCGCTTCCTTTTTTTTCTCTTTCTTCCTCCCATTAAATTTCACGCTCGTGTATGTTCATCAGAAGCGATCTTCTTGTTTTATTACGTAATATACTATTAACCAAATATTTCCATTCTATCATTCGATATATTGATTGTTTATATGCTTACGTGATGCGGGAATTACCCTGTCTAGCGTTTAACCTTAGAAACATAGTTAAACAATTAAACGAAATGACCGTATCCTCTTTCGTTCATTCAAATTCAAATTCTGAAACTACAAGGATATCTTTTCTTTTCTCTTCTTCGAAGAAAAAAAAAAGAAAAAAAAAAAAGAAAAAATAATTATTTTTGTTAATAATTTTTCTCGTGGATGAAACGATTCGCACATCCTATTTTTTGTTTTGTTTTTCTTTTTTTTTTTTTTTTTTTTTTCTTTTTCCCCTTCCCTCATCGTATGTGTCTCACTCAATACCGTTGTTTTCAAGAGTAACGTTTGACCTTCCTAGCGATATATACTTCACTTTGATTTCGTATAAATAATCGCGCGTAATCGCGCGTGACAAAAATCTAATGATATTAAAAGATTAACAAAAGTAGTTCTTCTATTCTCTGATATAATAAATTTAGATAACGATCTACACATCGAGCGTTTTCAATTTAAAAATATCAGAGAAAAAGAATTTGATATTTTTGTATCGTAAAATAATAAAGAAAAAAAAAAAAAAAAAAAAAAAAGATATTCATTTTTTTTTTTATATACATATATCGCACATTTATTATACATTAACAACGAGGTATCTCTGACGAGGATTAATAATCAAAGAATACATTTTATCGACAAGATTAAATTAATTCGTTCGTTTGTTCGTTGATAATGTTACTTAACAACTTCGTTGATGTTATATAACGAAGAACGTAGAAACAAAATGAAACAAAACGATCGATCGATCGATTTTGTTCTATCTCACATTCGAAATTACTATAATTTGCGTTCGTGAGATAAATCCCC